CCTTGTCCTTGACGCTATTGGTTTATGAAATGAATAGCATCCTTATTCTCAGAAAAAAAATGACGTGACGACCAGTTGATCTAGTACCGTTTGACTATATAATATCTTTTGACCGGCCGTTTGACTCTCCTTTTTTATTTTATTTTCTCTACCATTAAAGTAATCACCAATCTCTCTTCCGATGGAAATCTCCACCTCCGTCACCTCAAGCTCATTCACCATTTCATTTGGGTATCGGAAATCTCAGCCGGGTCTTCCTCTGTTACCTTAGAGATTGCAACAACGCAATGGGTGACGGAGAAAGCAAAACAAGCTTGATGACCCTATTATCAAGAAGAAGAAGAAAGCAACGCCATGGAAACTAATCAGCAGAACATATAAACACTAGAAATGGCCACTGAGTTTACAACTCACAGCCTTCTGATCACATGAAACAGAATAAACAGTCAAAGCGGTAAAACACAGTAAACCATCAGTTCTTTGACTTTGATCTCTCACTCTCCTTCGATTCACAGGTTTTGTCGTTGTAAATAACGACAATACCACCTTTAGAATAATCTTCTGCGCACGAATTCAGACCAACCCATGGAAGTAGCCGGTTCCGATGATGCTACTGGTTCAGCCGCCACGCAATTGTCAGAAACTGGTAACTGTTGCTGTATTTTCTTTGAACTGTTCGAGAAATCATAACCTCACCTCACTTCGCTGACCGACCCATCAAGCAGTCCGCTATGTTCACAGAAGCTAATAAACATATATGTTGCAACGAAATGAGTACCGAATAATGTGCATCGTTGTGTTATTGCAGTTCTGCCCCGAGCTTTTCTCAATCTTCGTCGTCTTCCTAGCGTACAAGCTTTACCAACGGCTAAGGTTTAAGCTACCGCCGGGTCCCCTCTTTTGTTAATAATGTTTAACAATGGTACAGTTTCGTTGTTGCTCTTGCTTAAGATTTTATTGTTGCGTTTGCAGTGCTGGGGTCTGAACATCAGGTCAGAGCTAATACTTTCGAATAATCCTCTTCTTATTGCGCCACAAGGTGCCAACTGCTTGTCTTAATACGCAGAATGTGCCATTTCTTGATGGTAAAACGATTTGTATCTATAACATCTTCTTTCCTGTTTGTATTCATTAATCTATTAACTTTGTGTCATACTCCCTTTAGAATTAGTTGACTGTGGTGACCGATTAGGATTTTCTGAAATTATGATAATCTTCCAAACCCGGAATTGTTTTATTTTCTCATAATCTTCAGAAATTAAGAAGAAAAAAAGAAACCATTGTTGAAGTTGAAAAAAGAGAACGAAGAAGTCATTGTTGGACATGAAAAGAAGGAAGGAAGAAAAAGCAGAAGTAAAAGTAAAAGAAAGAAGGAACAGTCTAAGGGAGTCAAACGCTGGTCTCGTCGCATGCCATGTCAGCTGTGTAATGTGTCACTAGCATTTTATTACTGTAACAACAGTTATTAATTATTAATCGATAATATTAGTGATAAATTTATTATTTTTAAAACTTTAAAAAATAAAATAAAAATTTATTCAAATATCAACGATAATTTATATAATTTAATTTTATAATTAATATGTTAATTGTTAAATGAATAATATTTTCCGTGTATCATAATATATCATGTTTTAACATTTTAATCATTTTTATTGAATAAACTTAATATTTATTCTAAACCCAAACTTTAATGACACTTTTCAACATAATCAACGAATGTGTTCATAATAAAATGTTAGCATATCGAAATTGATAATTTCTCTATAATAATTATTATATAGTATAATTTATCATATTTTAAAGTAATTAGCGAGTCATCGAAAAATATATATTTATGTTATTTCATTTTATGTAGATTTGAATCTTAACATCCACTTTGAAAAATATATATATTTTTTAAAAAATAAATAATTTATTTGTTTTAACCGAAAATGGCATCAGTAAATTAAGATAATTATAGGAAAAATACAACAATGAAACACAAACGGAAGCCCGCATTGGTAGTACGAGGGATATATCAAACTCGTATGATGACGTGGAGAGACAACAAACAACGTGTCAAAGAAACTATCATCATTCGCAAGAACCAACAAAGAACTGCAAAGCGCACATGCACATGTGTCAAAGGTGATAGTCCCCAAACAAGAAAAAGTCGCAGACTCCGACCACCGTGTCAAGACAGATAAAAAAAAGGCAGCACAATCAATCTGGAATAGGATAATATGGATCATGGTCAAGCATACAGACCAACGCACATTGCTGCATAAACTCAAAAAACGGATAAGCGCCGGCATTAATAAAAAAATTGACCCAAAATACAGACTTAACACCAAACAAATAATTGCACAGAACCAAGGATAACCATTAAAACGACCAAGAACATAAACATGTGCCATGTCCCGGAACCAATCCAGAAAGCAACAATAACCTTGACCGAGAAGGGACTGAGAGAATAATTAATACCCGTATGAAAACTTCGTCTCCCTGAAAATACAAGAGGAGTGGTTATTTATTTACAATAAGACTAAAAAAACATAAATAAAAACAATAAGATGATCGTTGGTCAAAGCCAAACGACCACACGAAGGCCGGAAAGGAGTGTAGCAAAGCAGTTCAACAATAGCGAAAAACAAAAAGAAAGTTTTAAAAAATATATCTTCTTAATAATAAAAAATACAATATCACGTGGATATAAATAGTTTAATTATGCGGTAGTCTAATTTAAGGTTAAAAAATAATTATCTTAGGACGTAATAAAAAATGTTATAAAAAACACAACATTTTAGATTTTAAATTGAGTGTAACATAAAATGTTATTTTTTTATTAATATTTTTAATTAAATTTAAAATATTAAGAAGAATATAATATTTTTAATTAATAATAAAAAAATATTATAAAAATATAATATTTTAAATTTTTACCGAAAATATTATAAAAAGTTATATTTTATGTTACACTTAATCTAAAATATTATAATTTTTATTATATTTTTTTATTATACTAAAAAATCATTGTTTTTAACCTGTTCCTGAGACTTTCCCACGTGATATTTTTTGTAAGTACAGGGATAACAGGGTCTTTAATCTAGCTAGACTGTATTATCCGACTTCATTTATTGGCTACCCAAATATGGGATAACTGACAAGTGACAGCCTCAAATCCTGACAAATCAAACTCAGCCATGAACTGAGAATTGAAACTAAAAAAAAAAACTCATCACCCCATCAAAACCCAAAAAAAAAAAAATCAATGTCCATATCCGTGGCTTCCCTTTCCCCTCCTCCGCCACTATTTTTCTCTGTCAGACCACATTCAACCCACAGTTCAACTCTTTTTCTCCCTCTCAAGAGACCCTTTCTTCTACTATCCACGCCCAAGTCTTTACCTGACAATGGCGCCGGGGTTTCAGCTTCAGTTGCCGCCGTCCAAGACCCAACATCCAAGCAAAAAGACCCTCTACTCGAAAACGTCGTCGAAGGCCCCGCCGGGTCGAACGGAGCGGCAGTGAGTATGACCTCTGCTGCAGAAGTAGAGGTTTTGAGCAAGTTTGAGGACTCTAGGTGGATTGGAGGAACGTGGGACTTGAAACAGTTTCAGAAATATGGTACCATTGACTGGGATGCTGTTATTGATGCTGGTAAGATTTTTACGTTTTAAACCTCCATTGCTGCTTTCTAATTTATCTGTGATAATCATTTTGTTGATGACAAATTTCCTTGAAATTAGAGGTGAGGTGGAGAAAATGGCTCCAGGAAAATCCAGAAACCACCAGTAGTGTTTGATACATCTATTATACCTTGGTGGGCATGGATGAAGAGATTCCATCTACCTGAAGCTGAATTGCTTAATGGTTTGTGAAAATCTGTATTTCCTTTTCTCTTTCTGATATGCTGTGAAAATCTATATTGTTTTAAACCATAATTTGTTGTTGTGAGTATCGTGCAGGCCGGGCAGCGATGATAGGGTTCTTCATGGCATATCTAGTTGATAGCTTGATTAGAGTAGGTCTGGTTGATCAAATGGGCAACTTCTTTTGCAAAACTCTATTGTTTGTAGCAGTCGTGGGTGTGCTTTCAATCAGGAAGAAAGAGGATTTAGATAACATCAAGAAACTGATAGAAGAAACAACCTTTTACGACAAGCAATGGCAAGCGACATGGCAGGACGACAACAATGGTTCCCGTAATAGCTAGTTCGATTGGAGTTATTAGTCCTTTTAGTTGTAGTTTTCCTCTGTTTGCAGGGTTCGGAACTTGATGAGCATTATTTAAACATCAATGAATTGCATTATTTTACCCTTTTCTTATTCACTTTTGCAAACCAACACTCTATTTGCTCAAATGACAGAACTTCAGTCGTCGGATTATGTTTTGTTTACAAAGCAGACATATACTATTTAGAAAATATCAATGATTATTTAACAGAATTAACATTTTTATAGTTATGTTTTGTTATGAAAAAAAATAATTTTAACATTTCAATTTTGAAAAACTTAACATTTTTTTAATCTTTTTACTGCTACATGGGTTAAATTGATCCATTTAGTAATTAAAATTATATAAAAAGGTCGAATTCTTTTACCAATCCTTATAATACGTCTAAATTTTGGATTTAATTTAATCATTTTAAGTCCTTATAATTTTTCAAATTTTAGAATTTTAGTCATAACTTAAATTGTAACTGTTAAACATGCCGAGTTAAATTATGTTATTTTGTAAATTATAGATTTAATTTTTGTTCTCTAATTTTTTCATTTGTAACTCATGTAATTTAGTTATATATTCCCTCCATCGTTTGAGTTAAGATTGAAATTTCAAAATTCAAAAAATATATATAAGAACTACAATTGACTAAATTAGAGTATAGGAGCTAAATATTCAATTTACTCATAATTAAGGGACTAACAACACAATTTAACATGTAAAAAGGGGGAAAAGGAACAAAGAAAAAAGAGAAAAATCCTGGTGGGATTCCAACTCAATCCCAACTTGTACATCTTTGTCAGTTTCAGAATTCCCAGTAAACAATTAACGTTAATGCCCGAGTTCCAAAGCCGGCATTACCACACACAGTCGATACTCAGTTCAGTCTTGTTCCTTTCCTTTCAGAATTACCAGACAACAACCAAATACCGCTGAAGAAAATGGAGAATCCCTCTCTTCCTGGACTTCTACTTTCCTTCTTCACTCTATTAAGTACTTTCTTCCTTTGATTTATTCTCTGCTGTTAACTTCAATCATCCAGATCTCTATTGGGTTTTGTGTTTTTGTTTCCTTTGCGTTCTCAGGCGTGTTCAATCAAGTATTGGGTGATGAAGGATTCTGTTCCGCTCCTTCCATATTGGACCAAGCTGATACTTCCTCTAAACCTTTGTATTGGAAAGTCACAAGCCCAACTCTCTCTCCTTCTCATCTCCAAGGTTAGTTTATATTTTAGTGTCTACTGATCGATTTTGGATAGCTGAAGACTGTAAGTGAATATAAATTTTTAGTTTTGAAATCAAATTTGGTTTCTTTGCAGACTTACCCGGTTTCACTCGTAGTGTTTACAAACGGGACCATGCGTTAATAACACCAGAAAGTCATGTTTTCAGTCCTCTGCCTGATTGGTATTCACAAATGTTTACATTTCAACTTTTTTTTTATAAATGCTTTTGGCGTTGTTAGCCGGTGTATTGATTTGATTTATTTGATAGGGAAAATACACTGGGAGCATATTTAATCACACCGGCAATGGGTTCACATTTCGTGATGTATCTGGCAAAAATGCAAGGTCTGTTCCTATTGGAGTCCTAGATTTTAGTAGAACTAATCGCACGATTGGTTATACTATTGTATATCCTTTTGCAGAAAACTCGAAGTCGGGGCTTCCCCCTGCTGGTGTAGAGAGGTGTGGAATTTTGTTCTGTAGTTTTACTAGAATTACATACGACTCAGATACAGCATTTAAGATGCCCATTTATGTTTTGCTTTGAGTTTTAATGCTCATTCATTGATTTTTCTTAGGTTGATATTTGTGATTCAAGGTGCTGTCACTCTCACCAATTCATCTGGCATTAGCAACAAATTGATGGTAAATGATGCTTCATTTATGTTTATTATCCAATGTTTCGATATGCAATAGTACTAATAAAATTATAAGCATCATCCACTTTACTTTGTTCAAGTAGAGGCATCGTATTTCATCCACATGATAGTGGCAATACATTTCTCCAACAATATTTGAAAGATTAATGGCTTATCTTCCTAGTTTTTATTTTATTTTGTAACGCAGTAATAGCTTATCTCTTGTACTAAAGAGCCTTTCAAGTTTTTGGTACAAGAATAAACAAATGTATGTCCATTTCAGGTTTTCTCGTACCAAAATTTTGGGGGGAAAATAGGGGAGTACATCATTTGAAATATAAATCTTTATGTCATTCCTTCTGTCATCCAGGTGGATTCATATGCTTATCTTCCTCCTAATTTTGAACATTCTCTGAAGTGTGATGGCTCTACTACTCTTGCCATATTTGAACGAAGGTACACAATTTACCATCTTAACTAATTTTCTTAAGTTTTCTATATGGGTCCCAAATGGAGGTATATTGTGACTCCAAGGTAACTAGTTAGGAATAATTACGTTTAGAAGGATTATTAGGGTGGTGTATTATTTCTACGTTTTTTTATAAGAATAGAGGCCTCGTTAAAAACCACCTTCATGATTAATGGAGCTCGTTAAAAGCTCCTTAATCAGCGGAAAGGGGAAAAGAGTGCCTTGGAATTTCATTAAAAAACATGATTAGTACATAGTAAGTACACCATCCTTAAACTCCCTAATTGGGAAAAGAAACCTAAAAAAACATCCCAAAACAACATCACATACATCAACCTATTCCAGCCTTAGCTAATGCATCTGTCTCTAGGTTAGCAGTCCTATTAACCCATCTAACAACACCTTCAAAAACTTTAAGCCTATGAACAATATCTTTAACAATAAAACCATATACATTTGGACATAATTCAACTTTTTTAATCCAGTCCACTGCCACCTTGATGTCACTCTCAATTATCAAACGGTCCTTGATCTGCTCTCGAAAAGAGACAAAAAACAATAACCCCTTTTGAATAGCTCTTAATTCCATCAAGGTCGGAGGCCCTGGACCAGCAGACTCCTTGAAAGAGCCTAAGATCAATCCTGAGAAATCTTTTAGAATTCCTCCTAACCCACTTTTCTGCCAATCATTTGTAGTAGCAGCATCAACGTTTAATTTGACAAAGCCCTTAGGAGGAGGAGACCAAGGAAACATAGATACAATCGGATTGGAATAGAGAGAACAAGAGTCCCCTAAGGAAGGATTAGATATAAGAGAATCCTTAGGAATAGAAGTCTCTTTATGCTTTGCTAAGAACCAAGAAGCAAGCCTAAACCTTGCTAAGAAGAAATATTCAGCCTGATCAAACTTCTCCCCTTCAAACACAATAAAATTCCTAATTTTCCAAGTGGTCCAAAGAACAACCCCTGGAATAAATGACCATATATCTGAATTAGTCTTCAAAGCATCCCAAGCTAGGAGAAAACTTTTAGCATTAGCATGAAAAACAGAATTGATCCTCCAAAAATTCATAAATTTGTTCCAGAATGACCACACAACCGAACAAGAGAAGAATAAATGGGAGGCAGACTCATCCACCATCTTGCAAAGAGGACATAACACATCTTCAATGCCCTGAACTCCTCTTTTGACTAATTATGTCTTAACAACCAGCTTTTCAAGGACAACTTGCCAAAGAAATGACTCCGCTCTTGGAGGCAACATGCCCCTCCAAATTATCTTCTTCCAGAAATAGACCTCCTCCGATCCTAAAGAACCCGATGAATAGAGATTAACACAAGATCTTGCAGTATACACCACATCCCTAGTGCCTTTCCAAATCAACCCATCAGAAATTTCAATAGATAAGGTAAAATTCGAAATGACAACCATTAAGTTAGACCACTGTTCAAACTCCCAATCATTCAAATTCCTTCTAAACTTCACATCCCAAATCCATCCCAAAGAGCTATAATCACCAAATTCAAATAGTTTGCCAATAATCACCAAATTCAAATAATTTGCCATTCTTATTTGAGGAAATAGAAAACAATATGGGGAAAATGACCGAAAGAGGATGATCCATAGCCCAAATATCTTGCCAAAACCGAATAATTCTACCATCACCAACTTGAGAACTGCACATGCTTATAAACTTAGTGCCAAAAGAGTCTTCTTTGAAATGATTATTAAGCATTGATCTCCAAATCCAGGAAACTTTAGGCGGGATCTTACTGTCAAACAGTAATAATGAGGAATCCAGTTTATATTTAGCACAAATAACTTCCCTCCAAATAAAATCCCTATCATTGGCAAACCACCAAGACCATTTCCCTAAAAGTGCTCTATTCATCAAATTGAGATTCAGAACTCCTAAACCCCCTTCATTCTTTCATTTGCAAACATTAGACCAATTAACCCAGTGAATCTTGTTATTGTCATTTCCCCCTCCCCATAGGAAATTGGACATAATTAAGTTAAGGGTTTTGAGAACCGAAGCTGGAATTTTAAACAATGACAAATTATATGTTGGAAGCGAACATAGAACCGCCTTAATCAATACCAGTCTCCTTACTAATGAAAGAGAGGTCGACTTCCACCCAGCTAGTTTGTTGAAAAAATTATTAACCACTGGATCCCAAAGAACTACAGAATTTCTACTAGCACCAAGAGGAAGCCCTAGATATTCTGAAGGAAATCTGCCAACTGAACATCCAATAGTCGTTGCCCACTCATGAAGTTCCTCTTCATTAAATTAACACCAAACAATTTACTCTTCCTCAAATTTAGTTGTAACTAGAAATCACTTGAAACACTCGAAGCACCCTCTTCACTTTCAAAATCTGCATTTTCGAAGCACCACAAAAGATGATCAGATCATCAACAAACTGTAAATGAGATAAATTAAAGGACCCCTATTCCCTGCCAATAACCATTCCAGAAAATAACCCCTGAGAAACAACCTTAAGGATCAATAAATTGAGGAGTTCCCCTACTAAATTAAACAACAATGGAGATAAAGAATAGCCCTGCCTAAGACCCTTTGCCATTGAGAATTCCTCAGAAAGAACTCCATTAACTAAAACAGAAACAGAAGCTATGGTTACACACTTCCTAATCCAACCACTCCATCTGGAACCAAATCCCATTTTCTCCATTACTTTAAACAAAATAGACCAATCAACTAAATCATATGCTTTTTTGAAATCAACCTTGAAAACACAACCCTTGAGTCCATTTTTCCTCCAAAAGTCTACTCCTTCATTAGCAATTAGAGAACAATCCAATATTTGTCGACTGAGGATGAAAGCAAACTGTGTTGGACTAATGATGTCTGAAATACAACTCCTTAATCTCTTCGAAAGACACTTAGAGAGGATCTTATACAATCCACCTACTAAGCTAATAGGTCTATAATCATCTAGACCGCCAATGTTAGAGCCCTTTGGAATGAGAGTAATAAAGGTATGATTAATAACATGTTCCCAATCTTTCCCCAAGTAGAAATTGTGAAAGAACATAATATCTTTCTTAAGGACATGCCAAAACCTTTTAAAAAATCCCATATTTAAATCATCCGGCCCCTGAGCTTTATTACTATCACAAGACTTTAAAGTTTCCCAAATTTCCTCCTTTGTAAATTCCTTCTCTAAACACAGACTCTGCTCCAATGAAAAACTGGCAAAATTCAACCTTAAGTCTTCCACTTCCAAGGTCGAAAAATCATTAAAAGATTTAAAGAAGTGATCTCTAACAATAGCCTTAATAACAGACGGGTCTTGGATAACATTTGCCCTGATATTTAGAGCATTCAAAGCATTCCTCTTCCTCCTAACTGAAGCACAAGTATGGAAAAATCTGGTATTTCGATCCCCATCTTCTACCCACTTCGATCTGGAATTTTGGAACCAAATCTGCTCCTCTATCTTATATAGTCTCCACAATTATGTTCTTGATGAATTCAACTCTGTTGCTTTTTCACAGTTAAAACCATCTTGCAGCTGTTGGACATCCACTTCTAACTTGTGAATCTTCGTTTTTAAATATGAAATTAGAGCCCCTGGAAACTGATCTCTCTTCCCTGCACAGTTTTTTATAGTTGTTTTGGTTTTTTTAGAATACTATAAATTCCAGTTTTCCTCTGATATTTCTTACATTCTTGAATTGAAGAACTAACCAAATCCTCAAAACCAACTTCATCCATCATATAATTTGTAGAAATCAGAGTAATTCTCTGTAATTTCTTATTCTTTTTAATATGACAAATTACATATTTATATACAAAATATCTCTCTAAAGTAGGAAACTCTAAGAAAAGAAAAATAATAATCCTAGGATATGATCTCTTAAAATAAGGGATTGTAGAAATCTATTTACAAAATCATATCTCTATAGGAATGATAACAAATCATATCTATAATTCCTACACTTCCCCTCAAGCTGGAGAATATACATTGTATAATCCCAGCTTGAATATGAATTTATTGAACACAGGCTTTGGCAAAGCCTTAGTAAGAATGTTGCAACTTGTTCTTCTGAAGGAATGTATGAAAGTGTGGCTGTCTTTTTGTTAACTTGATCAGCAATAAAATGCCTATCAATCTCAACATGCTTTGTCCGATCATGTTGAACTGGGTTCTTGGCAATTTGAATAGCAGATTGATTATCATACAAAACTTCAAAGTCATCCTCTTGATTAGTGACAAGTTCTTTCAGTAGTTTAAGTAGCCAAATTCCTTCGCATATTCCCAATGCTAGTGCTCTAAATTCAGTTTCAACACTACTTCTTGAAACGACAGATTGTTTCTTACTTCTCCAAGTTGTAAGGTTTCCCCAAACAAAGGTGCAGTAGCCACTAGTTGATCTCCTTTCAGTAAGATCTTCGGCCCAACTAGAATCTGTAAAGATCTTAACAGTTTTGTCTTGTGTCTTCTTAAACATTAAACCGTGTCCTAGAGTTTTCTTCAAGTACTTGAGAATTCTATTTGCTGCTGCCATATGTTCTTCAGTAGGATTAGTCATGTGTTGACTTATCACATTTACAGGAAATGCTATATCTAGCCTTGTCAAGGATAAATAAATTAGTTTCTCAACTAATCTTTGAAATTTCTCTTTGTCTACCAAGGACCCATCTTCTTTGTTAAATTTCAAGCTTGCCTCCATTGGTGTATCAATCGGCTTACAACCAAGAAAACCAGTTTCTTTGAGTAAATCAAGTACATATTTTCTTTGGTTGATCACAAGTCCTTCTTTTGACCTTGCCACCTCCATTCCTAGGAAATACCTTAGCTTTCCCAAGTCCTTGGTTTCGAATTCCTTATTTAACAACTTCTTCAAATTGCAAATCTCTTCTTCATCATCTCCGGTAAGAATTATGTCGTCCACGTACACAATAAGGATAGCTTTCTTATTTGTAGAAGTTACCTTGATGAAAAGAGTGTGATCGGC